ATCGTTATGGCTGGAAAAGACCTTTAAGATCATCAAGTCCAACCGTTATCTAACTCTACCAGGCCCACTTCTAAACTGTGTCCCTGAGCAACATATCTAGACAGCTTTTAAATACATCCAAGGATAGCAATTCAACCACTTCCCTGGGCAGCCTGTGCCAGTCTTTGATAACCCTTCAGCGTAGAAGTTTTTCCTAATGTCTAACCTAAACCTCCCCTGGCACAACTTGACACAATTTCCTCTTGTCCTATCAGTTGTAACTTGTGAGGAGAGACCAACGCCCACCTTTCTACACCCTCCTTTCATGTAGTTGTAGAGAGCACTAAGGTCTCCCCTCAGCCTCCTTTTCTTCAGACTAAACAACCCCAAGTCCCTCAGCTGCTCCCCATATGACTTATTCTCAAGACCCTTCACCATCTTCATTGCCCTTCTCCGGGCAAACCTGAGCAACCTGGTCTAGTGGGAGGTGTCCCTGCTCATGGCAGGGAGGTTGGAACTAGGTCTTTAAGGTCCCTTCCAACCTACACCATTCTATGGTTCTATGACCTGGTGGCAGATGAAGGTTGAATACAAGTTGACCTGATTTTATCACAGTAATAAAATAATTCCTTACAGACCTTGTTAGACACCAAGTTCACAACAAAACCACCTGCAAATCAAAATTATCATCTGATTATCTTCAGTTTCAGCTGGAGCAGGACTCAGTTGCAGATTAACAACTGGTTAACTCCACCAGCATTTCATAACATCCTCAAGTACTATCTCTCACTGGCATGATATGTGACAGTATTTCCCAGGAGGGGATTTTAACATTGTTACCATTTTCTAGAGCTAAAAAGGCTGTGTTAATAAAATGCATGATTGAAGTTTACTTGTCTTTTCATACTAAGAAGCTATAAAACTTTTGCACTGTCTGTCCTAAATGTTTTTTGTATTCTACAGCTCTAACTGTTTCCCCAAACAAGTTTTAAACTGACACATAAATCAGTGTATTTCTTTAGCGGCTATTTCTGTAAAGGCAGTCAAGTTAATCTAGGTTATGGCATCTGACTACAAAGTATCCTACAGATTGCTTTTATACATTTGCCAAATACTTTCCAAAACGCAGCATGGAATAAGTAATAGATAAAGAACAAATTCTGAGGAACACTAAAAAATAATAATATTTGTCTATTTTTTCCAGCTCATCAATTCTTCTCTGCTTTTTTTTTTCCACACGTAGTTCCAATTTTCCAGTACTCATCTCAAAATCCACTTTTTCCCCCCTTCTTTTTTAAAATTAAAGCCTCAGCTAGTGACACAGAGGAGATTCTCTCACACTCTCAGCAGACTGTAATAACAAGTTGTTGAAAGAAGGAACCTTGTACGAACGGGTGTGAGCGAAGGTGCCCAGCTCTCGGGGCAGGCGCTGCGCAGTCTGTGTACAGGCAGGACTGCTCCATCCACCAGTGCCTCTTCGGTCTGATTTTCCTCTACATTGTCCAAGGTTTGTTCTATAGTCTGAAGGACCAATTAAGATAAGTCACATACTCCATTCCCCCCTCCACCTTCAATTTCAAATTTGTACTTATCTTTAATACTGATGCAAAAGTCTTTGAACTACTTAAGCAAATTGTGTGCACTGCTGCCCCAACCAACCGCAGTTTGGATTCAGCGGTAAAACATCCCCTGATTTTTGCAAGCCTCTGTTTCTTTCCCCACAGAGTCACTGCTCCAGTGAACTCACATCCCAAGGGAGCGAGCCAGAGCCCTCAGAGCACCAACTTCTGGAGCAAATGACTTTATATTAATAAAGAATCACGCCTATTCTCAGTACAACCAAGCCCGGTCAAAATCTCTTTTCAGATAACTAGTAGGTGGCCACAGGGTCATTTAAGATGCATCTACACTAATAATTCAAAGAGGAGATCCTGAAGAAGACCACCAGAGATAACAGGTCTGCAGCAAGGCCCAGAGCAGATGCGGTGCTGCCCTTCAGAGCCAGATGTGTCTTCAGAAGGTGTCCTAGACCTATTAGGTCTAGCCCGTGACCCATGCAGATATTCAAATTTTCATTTCAAGGCTCTGTCTCTAAGCACCCATTCCTGGGATCAAGGCTTTGCCCTGTACGTACAATTACACGTACACCCCCAGGTTAAGGAGCATGGAGTAGGGGCAGGAAGTCTGGGAAGCCTTCTCCCCCTCTTCCATGCAGGAATTTTGCTCCTAAGGTCTCCTACCTGCTGGGAGGGCTGCCATCCAGCTCTCCCACTGCCAAGCCGCTGTTCCTGCAGGAAAAGGCAAAAGCATTGAGAAAAGACGACAGGCACTTGCTGGTAGTTTATGCCTGCAGAGTCCTTGGTAGGTGAAGAATTTAAACAGCTTCTGAAAACTTCCCAGCTCTTTGTCTGCCAGGGGTGGGTTGTCATGGCCAAGTCACAGGAGCCTTTTAATAGAAAAATCCTTTTTGAGGAAGTCCACTAGTGCATAGAAAACAGACTGGGATCTGTATTTCTGGTATCATAGCTTGGAAAGGGCAAAGAAACACTAGTCTGAAGACTCTGATGGACAGAACAAGACAAACCATAAATATAACCCACATTCTACAACAGTACTGCCCAGGACAGCCTCTGCCCATCCAGCCTGCTTCTCCCAATGCCAACGGGAGCTCTGCCATCCGCCTGGATGGGATTAGGGCTCAGCTCTAGATCACTAGCTCAAGTGGAAACTACAGAACATGCACTGCAACTGCAGCCACGGGAACTGCGAGGCAGGAATAGAAATCTACGGGCCAAATTCTGCCGCCTTTATTCAGCTCTCCTTCCTCCACCTCAGGCAAGCACAATCCTGGCCACTGTAACAGCCTGTTCGCTGCCTAGTGGATTCTTAGTCCTTGACGCTGGACACATAGGATTTACAAGCCGTGTTTAGACGTAACTAGAGATGAGTCTCCAGGCAGGATCACACAAGGGCAGACCAAGCACGGCAGCCTGGCACTGATGACACCCATCAAGAAGGTATACTCGGAGGAGCCAACCAGCAGGAGACTGAACCAGTGCTGGGCACCAACGCCAAGTGCAGGAGGAAGATGGAGACCCAGCAGGCTCTCCCAGCCTGAGAAAGGTTAGATGCTCTGGGCACTTGCAGCCCCAGATGTCAGAGCGGATCAGTGGCGGGGGAGGGGGGTAGCAGGGGTGCTGCGATCCCGGGGTAGGGCTGGATAACAATGCAGGGCACAGACAGAGCAAGGGCTGGTCATTAAAGCTTGAATAGGCAGAAAGGAAAAGGAATCTCCTAATCATTTCCTTTAGCCATCTCAGCTCCCCTCCCATCCTTTCCCCCCTCCTGGCCTTTTGAAGATGCTTGCTAATAAGTGTTAACGAGTTGCTTGACAAAGGAGGAGGAGGAGGGGGGGAAAAGACACTGGTGAGGAAGAAAAGGGACCAGACAGAGGTCTGTGAATGCCACGGCAGATTCTGGATGTAAAGGATCCCCGGGACAGCACCCCCACCCCTGGCAGGCCCATTTCAAGAGCTGACCTCTCTGACTGAGGCTTTCTTTTTTTTTAAAAATCATTTATTTGGGTTTTTTTGCACACCACATACGTCTCTTTTCCTTTCTTCCACTCCATCTGAGACACGCCTGCAGCTCGCACACACCAGCTCACCACTGTGTCAGTGCTGCCACCTTCTTCAGTTCCACCACTTATTTTCTCTCTCTCCCCCTCCATTTCAGACCCCTCTGGTATGAGCCAGGACACAGCTGCGCACACCAAACCACCCTGGGCTGTCCCATTTACCCCATCCTTTCTGCCAGCCACAACAAGAACACAACTCTCCCACAGCCCAGGC